CCGACCCTGTAGCGTCACACCCACATTAACCTTCTCTCTCTCTCTCTCTCTCTCTCTCTCTCTCTCTCTCTCTCTCTCTCTCTCTCTCTCTCTCTCTCTCTCTCTCCCCCTCTCTCTTTCCCTCTCTCTCTCTCTCTGCCTGTTCTATTTCTATCTGTGCACTTCCACTCTCCTAGCTTTCGGGTAATTACCTGGCATTTGCATTGCAAAGTCCCCCGTGCCGCCCTCAGCTCCTCTGCAGGTGATTGAGCTTCATTTCCTCAGCAGATAAGAGAGAGAGAGAAAGAGGCAGAGAGAGGAAGAAAAGAAAGGAAAGGGGGGATTGCAGCAGTGTGTGATGTTATTCTGGTTTGGAGGATAGAGGAACAATGCCCCGAATCCTTTGTTAGTGGTAGATTGGTTGGTTCAAAGCGTGCGCGAAAAGTTCCCACTCTTTAAATAATCGTCTTCATCACTTGATCGGAAGTGGAAATAAAATCAGAGGGGCAGGAAAATCAATAGACAGTTTATTTAGACAGTTTTTGTATATTTCACCTTTAATAGATGGGGAGACAACAGACAGTCAGGAAAAGTGAGGACAGACTTGGATAGGGGTGACAACCGAGGACGATGCAGTAATGTGGAGTGTGTCCTCGGCCACAAGGCCACCGTGATGTCACACTCTTGGTGATTCCTGTCTATGGCTGCGAGCAGCAATTCATTTTCATTGTAGTTTGTAAATAAAACATACGTCAAGAGAGTCCATAGTGACGTCTAAAAACATCAAGAACAAAGATATCCAGTGTCCAGTGATGTGAAACAGACAGAAGCAGCAAACGTTCCCATTGGAGAATCTGGAGCCAGACAATATTTGGAGTTTATTCGTGAAAAAATGACTTTGATGATAAGTTGGTTGTCAAAAGAAATGTTGTTGATGAATTTGCTCATCTGGTCTTTAGTGTTCATTGATTTTACACCAGTGACAACATGTAAATCATGTCCAGCTTTTGACGACTCAGACACATCCGGGACATAGATATTCAGTATTAAGGCTTTTGCACTTCGATGAGAAAAACGTCACGAGATAGCAAATGATTCCGAGGTGAATAAAAAAATAACGTTTATATCAGACTGGATAGAAGTTGCCAACAACATTCTGATTGGTTAGATGTGTAGACTACATTTTTGAAAACTTCAGCCTTGGTCTGAAAAAAATAAAAGTTGCTGTATCGCTCAGCACCAGAAGTGTTCAGTTTGCATGTTTAGAGTACAAAGAAGAGAGAGAGGAAAAGAGATAAAGAGACCCAACATGTCAGTGCCAGGATAAGTTGTGTTTAAATCACTTATGTCTTAGTTCCAAATGGACAGCACAGGTTAATCTCTCATGATGGTGGTTTGGAGATAAGAGCATCATATGGTCACAGTGTCAGATAGTTCACAGACTGAATGAACTCTCTGGTTAAAGGTACAGAGCAGTTTACTAAACGTACTGTTGACAGTGGATTCTTGAAGCTGTTTCTCCTACAAATGAATCCTGAACACACTCTCCTTGATGGAAAAAAGGAAGTTTCCCATCCTTCCATCCATCATCCATCCATCCATCCATCCATACTGTACTTACAGCTATCCATCATCAATCCATCCATCCATACTGTACTTACAGCCATCCATCATCCATACATCCATCCATACATACACACATCAATTCATCCATCCATCTTTACATTCATCCATCCACCCACCATCCATCCATACTGTACCTACAGCACTCCACCATCCATCCATACTGTACCTACAGCACTTCACCATCCATCCATACTGTACCTACAGCCCTCCATCATCCACCCATCCATCATCCATCCATCCATCCACCCATCATCCATCCATCCTTCCACCCATCATCCACCCATCATCCACCCATCCATCCCTCCTGACCCACCGGTAGCACCTCCCCCAGAATGAGGGCTGATAATTGGCGCGAGCTCATTTGCATGCTGAACGGCGCGGGTATTTATTTAAATTGAATTTCGCTCCCGCACACTGCGCACTGTAGGCTTTTGTGCCAAAGTCATATTAACCCCTTGACTAGTTGATATGCGGTGCACGACGTTGCCCACGCGCGATGAATATTCATACGGATGGCGTTTTTCGCCGCCGTCCCCTCCTCCCCTCCACCCTGCCCCCTCCCTCTCCGTTTCCCAGCCCCGCCATGAAAAAACACGCAACAGCGCGCCGCGTGATGGAGGCATCCCGGAAGACATTTTCACCAAACACACACAGTGGAAGGAGCCACACTGTGTGTGTGTGAGTGTGTGTGAGTGTGTGTCTGTGTGTGTGTCGCTGCTGCCGCTGACTCAATGGCAGATAAGACTGAGCTGCCGAGCAGAGAGCGAGCTCTGAGGGGGAGGCAGGAGAAAATGGTCGTGGCAGGTAAAGAAACAACAACATGGTGACGAGCTGTGTCCACGATGACGAAGTTAACCTGCTAAACTCACCACGTGCAAGAGTCGTGAGAAAAACGTCATATTCACATTACATTTAATACTATTGTGAGTTCATACCTATATACTTATATACAACTTTCAACAGTTGTACTTTATACATCCATAGCCATATACCCGTGTATATATATTATATCATTCTCTACTCATATTTTTTTTAATACAATATCTGCCAATGTAAACAGTCTCATCTCCACATGGACACGTCTATCTAAATATCTCCTTACACTTATGCACAGATTCAGTTTTACATGCTCGTGCAATCATCCTGTGCCCCTTCACTTTATTAAATAACTTTTCTATACAAACTATTTCTGTAGTGAAAGGTGTATATTGTGTACATGTACTATATTTTCTATTCAAGTTTCTATTTTTATTCTATTGGTGCCTTTTTATGTTTTTGTATTCTTGTCTGATGTGTGTGTGGATCAATAAGAGTTTATCTTATCTTGTCTGAACAGTTCAGTGACCATAAATATCGTACAAATAGAATGCTGTTTTATTCAGGAGTAAGTGCAATGATTGATGGAACATGATATCAAAATGTTGCATTGTAAAACTGATAAATATATTCATATTGGTCGATATCCACAATAGACGACCGCCATTTTGACATGAGGTGGGAGGTAAACATGGGCGTTAGCGATCGCATTCATTAAGATTTGCACTATTTAGATAGAACCTTAATTAATGTGGTTAGTAACACCAGTGTTAATCTACTATTTCACATAATGCATCTTGATATATATTGTTTTTTTTAATGTTCAACCAAGCGCCTACTATGGTGAATAAAGTCAAATATCTGGGTCACATCATCATGGATGATTTATGTGAGGATAACCGTCAGTATGTTGTGAACTCTATGCACAAGCCAATATGCTGGTACACAAATTTCATATGTGTACAGATGATGTTAAAATGTACTGTACTCCATTCTAAATGGTGCACTTGAGGTGCGGTTACAGTAGAGCTAAAATAAAATGTTTCAGGTGGCGTTTAATGATGCATTTAGAATCTTTCTTAAACTCCCAAGATGGGCCAGTGCAAGTCAGATCTTTGTGGCCGTAATCTTCCTACTCACCACGTGGCCTACTGAGCCGTATAACACTATTGATGAGACACTTAAATACATTTCTAACATTGAATAAAGTAAAATGCTTGAACTTTTCTAATGCCTCCAACATTAAACACCAATTTTACAAAGTACAGGGTCCAGGGATATAACCTTTTCGCAGTGGATGTCTGGAAGTAGTTTAAAGTGGACTTGGGACATAAGAAAATTGAGAATATTTGACCAACAATCATCTTGACACTACTACCCTTGTGTCCGAGGAAGTTTGGTCCAAAGATCAGTCTAAATATGCGGTCCATTGGATATCTGCAAAGTGTGGTGATAATACAGCAGAATCACAATTTCAAACTGATAATCACAGAATATGTGAAAAGTCTGAGGCACAAATGTGCACATTCTTCACAATGAGCTAAGTGCACGTTTCTGGTGCAGTATTCTTAAGCGTTATTGAGGTCTTTATGACTTTTGATGTAGACAACCCATCGTGAAAAAACAATGGTGGATAAAGTGCGACTCTTGATGGGCAACTGCCAACTTAAATTTTGTTATGTTCTTTGTTGCATTGACTGAATAAAATCGCTAGAGTCCTTTTACCAGTAGTAATTTCTACCTTTGAATTTTTAACAACCTAATTTTGCAAACCTAAGCATGTAAGTCAAGTATGCCTACATTTGGACAGTTTTGATTTTAGCCTGTTTAGGGACAGTGTTGAGATCTGGGCCAAGCTCAGAATCTGAAGTGGCAGCAAAAGCCTGTTGGGATTTGTGGTAGGATTGTGTTACAAATAGTTGATGATTAAACTGGGATGAAGCAAATCTGTATGGATCAAGTTCTTAGGACTGACAGAGACATAGTAGCACTCACAGAGAATATGACATTTCAGTTACTATTGTTTAGAGGGAAGTTTTATTTAAAAGATTTTTCACACATTATACACCTACTTTAGCATTTCTAGTTTTATTTTGATTTGTAGCAGAGACTCAAAGTGCTTCCTCACATCTTATCCTTCCATTCATCTTCTGATCAAATTAGTTTTGGACAGGAGGGCTTGCAGGAGAATGTGACAATGAAGAAACATGGTTCAATTTGAACCTACTCAGACACGAGCATCCACAAAGTGCATTGTGGGAGCTGTGGTGTTAGTGCATGGTACTGCGAGGTGCCGCAGCATCCAGGGGCCCATCTGGGCATTATGCGCATGAAGGCTCCGCCCCGTCATAAGTTCCTGCTCCGTCTGTCGAAGCAGCTCGGAGACACCGCATGGCAGAAATCTGTTCCTCCCCTTTCACCATGGGGGGCGGCTTAGGTTGGGACTGGGGTTGTTTTAGAGTGTGCATACGTGCGTTGGAATAGAATGCTTCTGTGTTTGTCTGTGTGGTCCAGTAAGCATGAGTAATTTGGGGATTGCATGGACTGTCTCTGCATATGCCCTGTGCAGTCGCAGCCTTGTGTGTGAGAGTGAGTGCAAACGTTCATCCCCCCTGTACAGTGAAAATCACTTTATTTTGAAAGTTGCTATGAGCCCCATAGCCTCTTAAAAGAAGCTTGTTATTCCTTGTTCAGACATCCCAGTGTCCTCTGTTCCCTCCCTCGCTCCAGTGTATGTAATGTACCCTGTGACCTTGGCGAGAGTGATCCAGTGGCAGATTGCTACATGGTAGGGGCACAGTAGCTATTATTTTGAGTCAGTGCAGCATAGACTGCCAATATTTCTTCCAAACGGGATGGGGGAGGTCAGCTGACCAAAATCAATCTCTGTTGCGTGCTTCTCTATAACTCACGGCGAAGATATATTTCTGACATTATTTCTCTGTTGTTGTCTCATCTCCTCTGTCTCCAGATGCCCTTGCTCTCTGGCTTTTGCATTAAGCTCAGAGGCTAAGAAAAAAATGTGTAGAAGTAAGAGGGAGAGCATGCAAATTAAGAATCAAAATGCTAGATTAACAAAGGAGAAAGATTTGCTCCTGGGCAGTGCTGTGGCTTGATGATTAGCTCTGTTGCCTCAGCGCAGGAACGAAATGGGCTTGGACCCAACCTGAAATGTGAAGTGTGTATGTTCGCCATGTGTCTGCATGAGTTTCCTGCAGATGCTATGGTTTCCATCCCAGTCACCTTGATAACATGAGACAATAGTGAACCATGCATCGCACACAAAGCATACTCTAGAGAGAATGTAAAGGTAAATTTGCTTTTACTATGCAGTTAAAAACAAGGTGCGCACATGAATTCATGCTGACCAGCAGGACACCATCCCTTTCTTTCTTCATTGAGTTGGCAAGATGAGGAAAATGTTGATAGCAACAACAGGATATGCCTCCATCTTGCTGCAGGAAGATAATGAAGCCAAGTGCTATAGTAGATAGTCTTCTCCATAGCAACTGTTTCCGTTGCTAGGATACTGAATGTATGGAATGCAGTGATGACTTGAAAGTTGTACTCTCCAGAGTCTAGACAGATTCCCCACCCTGCACACAGGCAGCTTCATGTATTTATGCCACAATACCACGTTGGGTTGATTGAAGACTGCATCAGCATCATTTCGGTTATTTACCTCTGAGTGTTTTTAAAAATGGACCACCTCCCACCAGCCTTGCCTCTTTCCTCCCCTCCCCTTCTTCGCCCCACTCTTTTTCGCCCCAACCCATCCTCCCATACAGCAGAGGGTAGTTGGCACCAGTATAAAGCATCAGCCTCCTCCGACGACTCGTGCCTGACTCCCTGCCAACCTGTGTGAAGCTAGGAAGCGGAATAGTGAGAGGGAGGGAAGAGGGGAAGAGAGAGAATGGATTTTTGGAAGCAAGTAAACAGAGCAGCCTGGAAATCGACCTTTCCGTCACCAGTTTTGGCATCCAGGGATAGAACCTCACCCGTGTCTCCGCGTGTGGGTGCAGCAGCACTTGGACTTCAGTTTTACGGGTGAGAAACACGGAACCACGAGTACATTCGGAGGGTTACAAAGACTAAATACCCTCCGAAACAAGTCAAAGTGGATGTTATTATTCGCTAAGCAACAGATTGTTGTGCCCTTCACTGATGGTAACCATGGTACAAGCAGAGTTACAGGGCAGCGGGTCCGATGTTTTGGTTCTGGTCCAGCCGCCTACAACCACCACGCTAAAAACAACAAAAGGTGACCGAAGTATTCCAGTTCAGTCCTGCTGTACTGTATAGCCTGCACTGTGCTTTTCAGATATCCTCAAAAACAAAAGCGCACAAAAGAAATTACGCCCATATCTCATCCAAGTTGGAAAAAATCCTTTTCATGAATCCTTCCCCCATATTCAGCCTGTTTTCTTCTTTGAAAGCTCAGTCAGTCAAACTCCCTGCTTGTTTTTTGTCGTCCTCTGTTCTTTCTTTTGCTGGCGTAGTGAGGCATCGTAGTGAGGGTATTCAGCCAGTTCTTTCTCAGTGCCTGTGTGTGTGTGTTAGGTGGGGTAATTCTGGCAGAATGGGGTGTGGGCACTGGGCTGGCAGGGGGGAATGCTGGGCTAGGCTCATTGAAAGGAGCCAGCCTGGTACCGCCTGGACCTCTGCCAGCTGCTCAGTGGGAAAAATACCCACAGCAGAGATTGGTGTGCGAGGATTGTACAGCTGATTGCGCACTTGTGTGCGTGCAGGCGGGCGTGCACGTGTTTGTAAGAGGAGCGCGAGGGATGATGGGAAGGTGGTGTGAGGAAGAGAGTGTGAAGGGAAGATGGGAGAGCACCTGAGGGAGAAGGGGGCAGGGAGTTTTGGCTCAAGTTGTCTTCTCTGGACAGTGCTGAGTCGGCGTGTCATGGTCTTCAGTTTTACCTCCTTCTTTGTTTGTTTATTTGTTTGCTTGTTTTTTTTTCTCTCTGTTCATTCTTGGATGAAGTGGTTGATCTTTTTCATACAGTGCCCAAAGGCATGGTGGTCTGACGGCCAAAAGAATCCTTCACTGCCTCTCTGCTACCCTCATCTGTTGCTTCTCACTGGCTATTTACTCCTTTTATTGTTTTGGCAGGCCTATCTCTCCTCCTCCCACTCCTCCTCCTCCTATTGCACACTTGTCTCTCTCACTCTCACATTTTCTCCCTGTCTTTTGGCAACTTCAGGACTTTTTTATCGCAGTGGCAAGAAACAAAGGACAAGAGGGTGAGATTGAGCAGAGGATGGAGACCAAACAAATTCAGACGAGGAGAAAAATGAAGATGTTTCCTGTCCTCCCACCACATTGAGTGTCTCCTGAAGACAATATTTAGCTAGTGCAGTCACTGAGACAGATGCACTGACTGTGCCCGTGAACATGACCTGGCAGTGCCAAACAACCTGCTGCTAAAAGAAAGAACTGTCGCACTACAGTGGGGCAGAAAGGGACTGCCTGAGGGCAGCCAGGCCTCTGTGACATTTTAGGAGTCCTTTATGCATCTACGATCTACAATCTGTCACTGCATAGGAAAAACACAGTTTTTTGTCTTATATCAAGCAGTACCCTTGAGGTGGCACACTAAGACAGGCTTTATCAGCTCAAGTGCCACAGTGCTTCTTATATCCCCTATATTCTAACATATGGTAATCTTTAGAAAATATGTGCAAATCAAATACATGTATAGACGACAAGTAATAGAAGATATTGTGTCAAATCAACATGTAGCCAATAGTTTTTTTCTGTGGCGTTGTTGCTCTGAAAAAGATGATGCTAGCATGTTATATTGCCAACCAAGGTATTCCAATTCAGTTCTGCCGTATGTTATATGGCTAACGTGACATTGGCCTTGCTGTACCGTGTTTTGCTTGCCGTGATATCTTGAATTAGCCAGCTAATAATAAGCTTGATACTAACACAAGGTTAGCAAAATATATCTTAATGCAATCATAATGTTAAAATGAGCATTTATCACATTTTCCAACAACACACAGGCACTATAGTAACTTCACTAGTCACATGCCATGGCAACATCAAGTGTGGGATTTTGTTGTGTTGTGGGGATTTGGTCATTGTGATTATGTGCTTGAAGGTGTTTGGTTGGGTTGAGACTAGTTTGTTGTGGTGTAAATATTTGCAGCACATTTTCTGATTAAAGATGTTTTCTCAATTAGTTTGTATTTTCTTCCGTTGCAGTGCATTTAAACTCTCAGAGCCACCATATCCCAGCATAGCATAACTGTACATTGTGGCTTTACACTAATCATTTAAAGCCTAAAATAAACTGCAGGTTGCTTTTGGCCTTTGTCCTGTTGGGGATCACCCTGGGCCCATCTAGGAAATGAACTATTATGTCTGTGTCAGATTAGTGATTGTTCGTATTCAGGTCACTGTCACACATCTCATCTCTGGGCGGCCACGGGACAATCGCACATTTAACTTAGAGCAAGCATCCATTATTGGTATGTGCCCTAAGCTCTGAGTGTACCCTATGGCCTGTTTATCTGTAGACTAATATTAGTGGTTGCAGTACAAACCAGCCTTGCTTAGTGGAGATTTGCACGCTAAGTCACCTCAGTCTTCTTAAACCCTAATCCTCCTCACACATCTGTGGGCTACATGGAGAGACACACACACACACACACGTACACATACACACACACACACTTCCTTTTTAGCGCTCTAATTCCACGCAGCACAGTTGGCAGTAGTGTACCACCCTCCTGCCACCTCTCAGCACTGCAGTTTGTTTTACTTATATATTTTTTGTACCATGGTGAAGATTAGGATAGCACTGGGTCTACTTACAAGGCCCTCCCCTGCTTGTAGTGTTAAACAAGCATGTTCCCTGGACCTGTTGTCACAGCATAGCTCGTCACGTGGCTACCTGATGGCGCCAAGCCCAGCACTTAACACACTCACATTTAAAGCCACACTCTAGAGTAAGAGAGAGATCAGAAAATAACAGTGTTTAATTGTGGGTATTGAGGAGAGGACAGCAGGGATATAATGGCGGTCAAAGCCCTGTAATCTCTTAAATGTCTTCCAGCACAGAAGCCTCTGGCTCTGATCCGCTGGCCTGGGTCAGTCTGTTACAGAGTGCAGGCCTCTGCGGCCTAGTAGAAGCAGATAATGGACCTCTTCTGCTTGCATGCTGCAATTTGTGTTGTTGAAAGACTGTTGTGATCTGATGCCATATTTGCTCATTCTGTCCCTTCACAGACAAGCATGCAGTCAGTGGAAATCCCACTGTGGAGCCTTTTCCAGAAGGCATGGAGACCATCATGTTTGGTGAGACCACACAATGACAAGTTTTTCAAATCAGAAATAACCCAGTAAAATAATGTGGTCAAACACATTGTGGAAAAATGTGGATGAAGAATCAATTCAATTGCGTGCGTGTGTGTGTATGTGTGTGTGCTTGTGCATCCTTCATATCCAGGTATGGGGTGTTTCTGGGGTGCAGAGAAACTTTTCTGGCGACTTTCAGGGATCTTCTCCACACAAGTTGGCTACGCCGGCGGCTTCACACCCAACCCCACCTACCACGAGGTTTGCTCAGGTACTACACTATTTTGTATATTTACAGCGTCTACGCTTTGATTTATATGAACTAATCACACTGTCTGCCTGGGAGGATGGCACGACATTTCTCTGTAAGATAAGTCAAGGTTCAACGTGATCAAAAACTGCGAAGGAAAAAAGATTAAAAAATGCACTTGGAAATGTTTTTTTTTTAAGTACAACACTCTCATCCTCTCGCCTCTTTCCTCTCTTCATCTGCAGTCAACTACTCAGAATGTACTGCTCCAGATGGGCTACACCCCGCATCCCCACCCCCCCATGACCTACTTGTAAGGATTGGGCTCTGTACTATGCTGTACTGCGGCGTTTTTGCTAACTGAGGTTACTGTGTATGAAGCACCATAAACTGGCTTTTCTTGCTGAGACTGGGATTCGGTGAACAAGACGTTGATACATTAAATTGGTATAATGACAGTGAAAATGTTTGGCTATACCTGTCCGTATCTCTGAATTAGTTTCTCTCCATTTACCTCCTCATAGATCATGTAGGATGGTTGATATATAATTCAAATGAAGACGTCTGGGCCCTTTTTTTTCTTTGTGCGCCCCTCTCCTGTTTAAGAAGTCACGAGCTTCTGGTTTGGGGCTGCTCCATTTTTGAGGGCACATCATCACAGGCAGTTGTGGAGTCTAGGTGCACGCACAGCATGGGGGACATGGAGAGGAGGGGAAAGATGCTATGGGCTTGGCTGGCGGAGTTTCTGAGCAGAGTCCTTCAAGGGATTGTATGTTTCCTATCTATCTACCCCCCTGCCCCTCTCTCTCTCTCTCTCTCTCTCTCTCTCTCTCTCTCACTCACTTACTCACTCACTCACTCACTCACTCACTCACTCACTCTGTCTCTGTCTCTCTCTCAGTTAGCTCCCCAGCAACAAGATGGTCAGCTGCGGAGGAGGATGGAGATGGAGACAGATGACAGAGAAAGAGAGATTGAGAGCTGTGGCAAGTGAGGGAACCGGTAAAATAAACTTTTGAGAGGAAAGAAAATTTGAGGGGCAAAAAAAAGTGTGAGAAAGAATGGTTGCCTGTCCATCGGCTGAGGGAGTGCAGGCGTCGCTCCAGTGGCCGTGACGGAGCAGAACACTGTGATGGCATGAGACTGAGGAGCTGTCAACACAGCCAGGCTAGGACAGACAGACAGACAGACGGACAGAAAAGAGGGAGCCGATGGAACTGTCAGCAGAGCCAGGGAAGGATGGAAGGACAGAAAGACACTTGGACGGCCTGACAGACAGAAATAAGAGAGTTTGAGGAAGCAGTCAGGTTTGCCTCGGGAGGACGGACAGGACAGACGGCTGACAGGTGGAGAGAGGGAGACGTTATTGTCAATCAGCATATTTTATCTCAACCAACACACAATACATTCTGTTTTGCAGGATACAATCAATAGTTGATGTTGTAACCTCTTGTGCTTTAACTCCACAGTTTTGCACCAAGTTTAATCCATAGACTGTAAATAAAGGAGGACGACTCTTTACTAGTAGACACTTCCTCCCAGTATCCAGAAATGAAACCAAAATATCCAGGAAACAAGAATCATCTTGTACATTTGAAGCCAGACTCTGCGCAGTAGCGATTGCAGGATGGAGCCGCAGTCGATGTCTTGTCTTTACACATGCTCGACCAATTGGAAGTTGGTCTCAGCTCAATTTTTATGTTTTTATGTCATCAAATAACTAAATAAACTCAAACGACAGCCAGCCACCAGGGGGCAATTGAAATGCTTTGGCTTCACTTTTGGGGAACAGCCATGTCGTTTATTTTTATATACAGTCTATGGTTAAATCCCGCAATTCCTCAAATGATAAAGTCCCCATCGTTTGATGTTATTGGTATCTTTCAGATTACTAATATAATTGTTCCAACAGTGACTCACAGCAGTGTTTTCTTCACTTCCAAGGTTTATGCAAATAACTATCAGTTGACTGTCGATAAAAGACGAGCAGGAGAAGTTTCACAATAATACATCAATGACAAAGTTCTGCTGTAGATACCTTTGGTGCAGTTTGTGATTCATATTTCAATGTTGTATTTCACACTTTGATTTCACATTAAACTGGTGTATCATACATTATTGAGCTGTATAGTGCTTTAATTACACTCACCTCAGTAACCGTGTGTATGGGTTAGTGTGTTGGGTGTATTCCACATGCCTGTTAACTTTTTCACTTTCATCCATTGCTAACGGCATCATAAACTTGCAGGAGAAAACAAAGGCAAGTCACAATTCATGCAGTCCCCACATTTTATCTCGGTAGCATGTGTCTACAATTTTGACGAGCCACATGTCGGTTACAGCATAGCTTCAGAGCCCATGCGTGTAGTTGCAATAGATACGTCGTAACACCTTAACATGGAAGTATAAATCCAGCTTTAGCAATGACAATAATCACCTCACAACTGTTACTTGTCAGGACATTGTTAACATAGATCATAGTAAGTATTGGAAGCGTACAATATAGATTTTTGGTGTGGACACGCTTGTTATATCATTCTGTTCTTTTGTCCGTGAAGCCAAGCTCGTCTAATGGCAGCACAGTGTAAAGTAAAATCCAACTTTTCTCTTTTTACTGTTTTTAAATAATTAAATGAAAAAGGGCAACATGGTGACGTTGATTTGGGAGGGAGGTCAGCACCCACAAGGCCATTCACCCTGCTGAAGTGTCCTTGAGCAAAACATTGAATTTGTAGCAGCTTCAGTGGTGCTGGTCTGCAGCACTTTCACCCCCTTCAGACAAGTGTGAAACATCATGGTGCATATTCACCTTGTTTTTCTAACAGGTCTTGACGGCTGTTTCATTTCATTCACTTTCTCTGCTTTCGACTGTTCTTACTGAGTTTCCTGTGCCACGAGTGTTAACATACAACCCACGCAACATGTATGCAGCTCCATATGGTGAGAGACGTAGTATGTATTAAAGATGAAAGGGTATTTCAAACCGTGACTTTAATGGCCAAATGAATTACGATGAGCCCAGTACACAATTCTCTATAATGTTTCATCGCCTGAAATACCAATAATTTGTATGGTTAAACTATTTATTATGTTATGTGCAGTGGGTTAAAATACAGCCTGACACATACAGCAACAGAACAATGTGTAGTGTTGACGGGCCATCTTCAAGTTGGAAGTTAAAAATGATCTTGCCTTGTATTCAAGGTGTTTTCAAATGAGGGTCTGTGGGTCCATGAAAAGTTTTCTGATTCGTCATCATGACATATGGGCATTCTGTGTTGACTTTTATAAGATGTCTAATATAAAAAAAATCCAAAGTATATTAATGGGTCATTACTGATGCAAGGGTCATCACTATTTAGTTTTTCAAAGGCCAGTATTCAAACATTCAAACACGTTTTGATCAAAGATTTAATTTTTTTTTATGAATTTGTCCATTGTTTACTGTAGTCACCTTTCCACCCCTTGTATGCACGTATTAAAAAAACAGTCATGCACTGATACAGTGAAATAAAAATGTGAACAGCTCCAGCAAAGACACACTATTTGCTCTTGTATAGTCAAGGTCAATGTTAATATCTACTGAAAGGGGTGCATGTTCTTTATCTAGGTAACTAACAGCCGTTTAAACAGGTGAAGTCTTCGATGATCATTTGGCACAGGATGGTCCTCTTGCTGTGCCGAGTGTCAATCGAGACAGAGAGTGGGTCTCAGGCCAGATGCGTGAATTTGGCAGGCGTTCTCCTATTGTCTGGGATGCACCTGATGCATCTATCTGTGTGAGCATGCTTTTTGTGTAAATTGTGTGTGTGTGTGTGTGTGTGTGAGAGAGAGTGAGAGTGAGTACACCTGCGCACGTGTCTGTGCAATGTGTGAACAAGAGAAGGGGAATTGCTCTTATTGATACAACACTAAGCTAACACCTTTGTATTTACATATAGCTAAAGTATGTTTGGATGAAGTGTGTGATGCGCACGTGTGTGTTCGTGTGCTACAGTCAGACATAAGCAGCCCCCAGTTTGAGAATTCCTGTCGTGAGCTTGTTGAAGCTTTGGGGTCCTGGCAGCTGCAGACGGGCACGAGTGTGTGTGTGTGTGTGTTTGTGTGTGTGTGTGTCTTTGAATATGTGTGTGTGTGCGTGCCTTCTCTCTTCTTTTCCCATTGTGCCATAAGCAGTAGCATAGCTGTGTGTGGATTCACCCTGAATGTCTCCTACCCATGATCTCAATGAATTTCCATATATGTTTAACATTTGTGAGTGAAATTTGGGTGAAAAGCATTATATAACTTGATCTTTGCTAATCCACGTTTTTTATTTCGTCTTCAGGTCTAACGGGTCACACCGAGGTGGTGAGGGTGGTCTTCTCCTCTAAAGACGTCAGCCTTGAGGAGCTGCTTAAACGCTTTTGGGAGAACCATAATCCTACACAAGGTAGCAACACACACTCTCACGCAAACGTTGCCCTCAAATAAGACTGATCCCGAGGGGCACAGGGTGTATTAGAGCAGAAGGATGATGCCCAGACGTGTGCCTGCGTGTGCGTTGTCGTGGTGGGGGGGGTCTCATGGGTGTAAGTCAACGCCAGACAGTGTTAATGTGTCTGAGATCCAGCCATCCATAGAGAGACACACCAGTGTGTTGCATGTTCAAGCCCCAACTGCAAAAAAAAACCTTTCTGTGTTAGAGCATGTGAGTAGCATGTACTTTATCCAATTAGAACCAGCTATTCACGTCACATTTGAGCGTCTGTCTATTTCCCTCATTATATTAAACTTCTTCTTTTCTGGGGCAAATAATAATTGATGAATATTTGTTTTATTGTGATCTCTGTGTTTCATTGGTGGGGTTATTCCCTTGATGAAAGTTCTGAAATTGTCAATCACAGGAAACTTTGCAGCGATGGTGCCTAATTCATTCATGTGATAAATATCTGGTCATTTGTCTTGTTCTGAACCGTTTTCCAAAATTACATAATGCGCTACAAAGTATGTGTGACATTTACCCCGAACCCCCAAAAAGCTGTCTCTCCCTCTCTTCAAGTCTCTTGTTTTCTCTGCTCACTGGAGGAGGTGATGTAAGAACATTAATGCAGCAGTAGGGTTTGTGTCCACGTTATGTGTGTGAGAGAAATGACAGACAAAGATGTACTCTGCTCACTCATATCCAAAAGTGAGGGAGGGGCCTGACAAGTTGAGAAGAGATGGATCAAAGATTTATTAGCCAGACCTTTAAAACAGGCTCTCACACACACACACACACACACTCACACTCACACTCATTTCTTCTCATGTCAGTTCTATCATCTCTTTTACATCTGTCATGATCACTCTAAAACATCAGCCATTTTGACTCCCCAGTTAAATACGTCGTACGTACCTCACATTTTCACTTACCCTCTTCAGCTACAGTAGAGGTGGGTTTACAGCAGAAAGCAAAGGGAAGGAGGAACTATTGAGTATTGTGGCTCGTCCGAGACCCACAAGAATGTCGATCGGTAAAGATTCTTCTGCTCTTCTCTGTAGCCGAGGGCAGAGACACATCTTACTATGGGCAAAGGCACAGGCAGAGTTGAGCCGACACGCCACAGGGCAATGAGGCCAAAAGAGTAGTCATGCATTTCCCCTGACTCACCGCCTTGTCTCATCTCATGTTTTATTAATAGCATGCAGCTTATTGTCTATGAAGTTTTGTCTTTTTGTCACAGTTTAGACCAGGTGACCTATTTCGAAACGCAAACTCAAACATGCAATTTTTTTTTCCTCCATGTGGATGTGTTCATCTCCGCCACTTCTTTCCTCTCCGATTCTGGGTTCATGTCTTGCAGAAATTCCTCTGATTTGACAAATGTGGTGTGGAGAGGTGGAAAGGGGCCCGCTGGCTGTGCCTTCACGCATGCTTAAGCTCCAATTTATTCTGTCCACCTTAGAGCTGGGCTTAAAAGAGAATGGATAAATTAAGGAAGTTCGCTCGTTTCCCTTTTAACTGCGCAGATTCACCAGAGATCATCGCATATGGAGACGCGCCCGGGAACATTATGAATTCTGTTTTCTCCTGACACGTATCAACACGGAGCCCATCCGGCTTTATATATACTCATGGAGCGCCTGTAGAACTATCATGTATATACATATTCAGATGCATGCAATACTTTCTTTAATGTGGATGTGTATCTGTGAGTGTGTGTATGCACATACGTGTGTGTATATGTGTTTTGAGATCTGTGCCTCCCTGCTTTGCCTCAGTTCAAAAGGGTTTAGTCCCGACAACGTGATGTCGGGCTGCGTCAGCTCCACCAATCCCGGCCTGGATAGCAACATTAGCAGCCAATCAGAAACTCCCAGCAGCCTTTGCTGTGTGCCCTCTTTCCATATTCAGCAACACTAGTCTCAATCTGCTGGCTTCCCTGGGATGTTGCATAAAGACCCCTGATTCAACACGCTCCCATATTATAAGTTTCTTATGTCTGCATTATGACAACTCTTCGGTAACACAACTTTCTCATGTGAGGGTGCACTGAGGCACCGAAGCACAGACCAACTCTGCACAGTTGAAGTGACACCCACATGTCGGAAGCTAACAGCAGTTGTGTTTCGTCATGATGGGTGAAAACATTGATTTGATGCGTTTAGAATGATCACGGTGGAGACGCAAACACGTTGTGCTCTTTCGCACACTGCAGATCTATTGCCCACACAGTTTTCGTAGGCAAGCATACTGTTCGCTTCACATTATGCACAAATGCTCATTATGCCTGCTCATAGACAGCTTTATTCCATTTGTGCATGCATGCGAATGGGCACAATACACACACGTACCATGCATGCAGAGGGTGCACACAGCTGCACCAATGGCATGTCAGTTTGATCACTTCCTTGCAGAAGTCCGTAGGCCCCGCATTACTCCCTGAATCTGATGTCCCCTACGCTCCTAGTGGAAGACAGAAACGGCTGATCTAACCTCTTCTCAAACCCTGCCAACATGTCTCCTCACCCCTCAGTTTATTTCTACTCCCTCATAATCACCATTTTTACTTTTCCCTCAACCCAAGCATATGGTCACAGCCGTACCTCTTTGATAATTTATTTCGCTTTCTTTCTGCCCCATTCTTGATTTCATACCCCCATTAAGTTTTCCAAATCCTCCTGTCTCACCCCCCCACACCTCACTTGTTTCACCTGTCTTCCCCCCCCCCCTCACCCCCTCACCCCCCTTTCTCCTTCGAAGTGAGCCGAGCGGAGGGGCATGCGAGTGAGCAACTGGCCCGGAGCCCGTCAGCACATCCGCACCGCAGCTCAGAGTTGACTGCTCCCCGAGGCCATCCGCTCATCACACAAACACACTCGCATCCACTCACTCCTCTTTTATCTCTTAGTCACCCCCCACCCCCAACCCCTTTTCCTCCGTTCCCCTCTACCCCCCTCTCCGCTGCCCTTCATCTTAACAACTGAGCCCCCCCCTCCTCCTCTTTGTTTCCTCCTCATTGCTTTTTTCCTCCTCCTTTCCTTCCTCTTCCCTTGTTCCCTCCATCCTCTCCCCTTTTTTTTGAGGCCATGCAGTATTTATGGCTTGGGCTGCTGATGCTGCGTCAGTAAACAGGAATCACAGTCGTGCGCCGATAGACACAGAAACACGAAATGCACAGCTAAGATGGCCGACGCGGCTGTCCTTGTTTAATAGCGTCGCCACGTACGTGCATGCTCACCATTGTAGGTAGTTGCTGGAGTCATGCAGCAGAAAAGAGAGGTATAACAGATCTGTTAAACAGGTAAATGCTATTGAAAAACCAACCAAGGATGGTGGTGGTTTTTATTAATTCATGATTTTCTTTTTTCGTATATTTTGAAGATGTGTTGTGTAGTTGCTGCATAAAATATCTACTCTTTGTCATGAAAATAGCTTATGACAAGTGAAAATGTGACTTATCATGTATCACACACTTACCATGGATTGGGTTAGATCCCAGCATAGACATATATATGAAGCAGTGATGGATGTGCTGTCACGCTGGCGGCCGTTGTTTTCTGACAATCAAAATTAGCATGAATGTTCCATTTATATAATATCTTCAGCCCAGCTGGCAGCGACACACGCCAATTCCCTGTTGGGGTACCCCCCACGTCCTCCCTGTGTCAACCCATCCCTTAATTTAGGGGTCTCCCTTCCATCTAAAAGCCAACCCCCACAGGATCTGACCTTGACCTCTGACCCGTGACCTCCGCCACCCCCCACACTTCTAACCCATCCAACCTCTTCCATCTCCCCTGGTTGGCGGAGAATGGCGTGCTCATTACCAGGTGTCATTTATTACACCCTCACACACGCTGACAGCCCTAATTTATGGAGATTGCGGCACGTGTGTGCACAGCGTGGGGGTGGAGATGTTAGTCCATTTGATTATGTTGAGGTTATAAGTTTTGTAACTTATGGTTTTTTATACGTCATCATGTGTTTGTGAGACACATTTGTTATATTTTTTTTTGTGCACCAGTTAACCCTGTATGAAAATAAACTCTCACATATAAGAACTGAAACAATATGGGATAAATAAAATGAAAGGAAGTAAGACCAGAAAACAAATATTATCCTCAAAAAGTTCAGAAAATGCTTTGATTTTTGGTTAGAGACAGTGAAATCAGCATCAGTGGTGTTTATAATTATGACATATGATAAATATATGATTAATAGATGCATGGTAATATGATGACTAATGCACACTGACACACAGAGCTAAAACATTGACTGTCTTTAGCAAATGATTAAAAATGTCTTTTGAGGATTGTGAAATCAGAAACTCTACTAAAACATTTTTCTTCTAAACTAAAATGTGAAGCTTTTGAAAAATCTATATTTTCTTACAAATATTCCCTGCAGGGGAGTGAAGCTGTCTCTTCACTTCAAACATAAAATTGTAGAGTTAGTCGGTAAAATAATAAAAATCTAATCTGGAGCGATGAAAAGAGGATAGTTGTTTATTTTGAATTTTTTTTTTAAAGATGTAAATAGAATTTTTTTAATTTGATTTCATTCTCTTCCCAAAGCTGTGTGTTAATAGTTAATAGTGACAGTGATCGAAGGCTACAATACAAATGTGACACAGCAACAAATGTTATTTAATGGTGAATATTTGTAGCATTTGCTGGACCTGCTGAGCTGAAATCTATCTTTTGTTAACTTTCTTTTTTTTTTAATTGCCAAAAATCATATCATAGTTTGAAATGGAATTCAATTCATCCTCTTATACGGACTGATTCGGCTATAAAAATCGAGCTGCACTAGTCAGATGTAGACGCAGCTAAAAATAAATGGCACAAGGACCAGAGTCCAAGTTCTGACATGTCCGGGACCATGAAGTGATCATGTTAGAGAGCACTGCTCCACTAGAGAAAATTTAAAAAATGAGATGACCGTAGTAACTGCAGTTATCTACACAC